GAACAAATGGCACCAATATCTGTACGGGAAGCAGCACATTACAGTGCATACAGACCATCAGCCACTCGAGTCGATCTTCAAAAAGCCCATCAGCAAGGCACCTCGCAGATTGCAACGAATGATGCTTAAACTCCTGGACTACCAATTCAAAGTAACCTACAAAAAGGGGAAGGAACTGCATGTAGCAGACACGTTATCACGTGCGGCGCTCAAGGACTCATTTGAATCGCAACAATCAGATGTTTTTCGTATGGAATTGGTGGAAATGGATTTGAAACCCAGTACCGTAACAGCTGACACGTTGGAAAGAATCCGAACCGAAACAAGCAAGGACCCTGTCCTGTCCATCCTAAACTCAGTAACAACGACTGGCTGGCCTGATGAAAGAAAATCGATACCAGAGGAAATTAGGGGATTCTGGAGTTATAGAGAGGAGATCACAGCCGACAACGGTGTTCTTTTCAAACGGGATCAAGTCATAGTACCCTCCGCACTGAGAGCGGAAATGCTTCGCAAGATACACAAAGCCCATCAAGGCTATGACAGCAGCATAAGGAGGGCGCGGGAATGCCTTTTCTGGCCCGGAATGCAGTCGGATATCCGAGAAACCTGCTTGTCGTGTGGAATTTGCAGCCAGTACCACGCCGAGCGGCCAAAAGAGCCCATGCTCTCACACAAGATACCCTCACGTCCCTGGTCAAAGATAAGTGTCGACCTGTTCACACTGGATGGACAGCAATATCTCGTGATGGTAGATCACTATAGCGACTATTTTGAACTTGAGCCCCTCAGAAACGTTGCTGCAAGTACTGTCATCAGAGCTATGAAGAGAAACTTCGCGCGCCATGGAATACCCGACACCTGCATCAGTGACAATGGCCCACAATTCGACTGTCATGAGTTCTCACGGTTTGCGCGCGACTATGGATTTGCCTTGGTCAAGTCCTCACCTTATCACAGCCGTGGCAACGGGAAAGCAGAGTCGGCAGTGAAAATTGCAAAGAACATTTTAAAGAAATCACGGCAAGAGGACCCCTATATTGCTTTGCTGGCATATCGCAATACACCACAGCAGGGTCACGTTTATTCCCCGGCACAGAGATTGATGTCTAGAAGACTCCGGGATCTGATTCCCATGGCTACAAGCAAACTCCAACCACAACTAACAGTGCCAAGTGTAGTGACCCAGAACATTGCGGAAAGGAAACAAAAGGCCAAGACCCACTATGACAAACGAGCATCAAAGCAGCTCAGTGAATTTGCAATCGGCGAGAGAGTCTTCGTGAAACCGAGCCCGAGGAACAGAAGCAAACCCTGGATACATGGTGAGGTGGTTAACAAGCCTGCGCCAAGATCATGCACTTTAAGTACTCCATTGGGGCTTGTTCGTCGGAATCACGCACAAATTAGGAAAGCATCCACCGATCCGGTGCGCGGCTACAGTGAATCGGTATCAATCGACACAGATGTAGCATCAGATACATCTGAGCAGGTGGACGACCCCTCAAGTCCAAACAGCGGTGGAACAGAACAGGTGGAGCAGCCCGAGTACGTGAACCCTGAACATCATGCATCACCGGAAATCGTGCTGCGGAGGTCGTCTAGGAACCGGAAGTTACCCTCCAGATTTAAAGATTACGTAATGAACATTAGTTGAACACTTGCATAGCTTTGAGACATCGAGACATGAAGTACTTTGACTTATCTCATGGATTACGCCATAGCACAAACTGTTACTCTGTATCGTGTGTTTCGTGACTTTATTCATTTATGTTCATTTTATTTTATTTTTTTATTATTTTTCTTTTTTTTTTTCATGAAAGGAAAGGTGTTGCACGTTCACATGTAACTCATTAGCATACGTAGCTTGTTGCACGTGCATTTGCAATGTGCAGTAAATTAGCATATCCAACTTGTTACTTAGACTTTGACATTTCGCAATTAAAGCAATATCTTCATCGAGTGCACCACGCTATCAACACAGGGACGTGGTACAAAAGACTTCCTCTACAGGTAACTCTTCGGTTGATTCTAAGCCACACACAACCTTCCCTTGATTTATTATTTCTTCCTGACAATGAGTAGGCTTATTGTTCTTCATAAAACGTTTGTGTAAATTAACAGAAGAATGCCTCTTTTGCTTACTTCTTGTTACAATTGCAACTTCTTTATGAATGGGCTTTTTAGAGGGCTCTGTTTCTTAGCAACTCAGAATCAGATAGATCAATGTCACGCACTGTTTTATTCATTATTGAATCGCTTTTAGAGGAACATTGTTACCTTATTTTAATTACAGAATCCTGTTGCGTGCAAAACCCATCACCGTCAGTTAAGTTCAAAACGTTATCAGGGTGTTCAGTGTTGTTTCTTAAGGTGATTCCATAGTAAAAGAACCTAACATAGATTGTAGCTAAAACTTGGTGCACTGATGTAACAAGTCAAGAAGATGATAAAAATGTAATAAAACGTGGGGTCACCGTGCTCGTTTTGATGTCACAATGCTGACAAATATGGCTATTTAGGACCCTTTTACAAAAACCGAGGGCAGCCCAAAACTAGACAAAAAGGAGAGATTTTTTCGGTGATGCATGTGGCATCACACAGAATTTGACTTTAATGTATTGTTTATCCACCTACGTACCAGAAAAATGCCTTTAAATGCCTTTGTTTTTACTTTACGCTCCAAAGTAGAATTAAATTGGACGCGCACTTTTCGACCCGTGATGGCTCAATCCGTACAATTTAGTAAAATTGCCAAAAAACTGAACATAGATTTGTGCCAATTTTTTTCTCATCGAAAGGAAGCACTGTCCTTATTAAAATCATGAAATAAAAAATGGGGGTCACCGTACTCGTTTTTGCGGTAGAGCTGCAGAAAGTGCGCACCAAACGCATTTTCTCCCATTTTTGAGAGAGGACTGGGGCGAGTTTCAAAATAGAACGTATGTGAAAGGGGGGAAGAAAGTATTAAAAAATCCGTTTTTACAGAATTTACATCGAGATATCACATTTAGGACATAATGTGATAAAGAAAGTGTTTAAATGAAAATCAAAGTGAGTAAGCATAAGTTAAACATCCACTATCGAGGTTCTCCGACAGGAGGTCGAACTCAGCAACACGCGTACTGCTTACGTTATGCACATTCCCAACACATTGAGTCTCACCTCGGCAAGAAACAACAGCAAGCAAAAAATCCAATAGCATTTCTCTTCAGTCAACTTTATTTTAATAATATTACTTCTCATGCTCTTTTTGATGGCGGCCATCTTGTTATGCGCAGTAAGAGATGCGCAGTGCAAAACAAGGAAATCACCTTAAATATTGTGCTCTTTACTAGCAGCCAATGTTTTAAACATCTTTCCTTTTTGATTAAGGTCGATTGGATCAGCCGACTTCATAACATTGGCAGGCGCCTACAATGTTTTCTGCCAAGAAAGCGTTTAGATCTTCAGAAGAAGGAAAATCAGTAAATTCTATGTAATCCTCTTAAACAGATCCATAAACGACATCACTGAAACTAACAGTCTGTGACGTAACCATCTCATCGAGCGTCTTCTCTTCTGACGTCACGCATGAGTTTTTGGAATTTATAATTGGCTGAGATTGTTCTTTCGTGTTATTTAAAGCATCCAGTTCCTAATCCCGTACCCAGATCTCCCAGTGTAAAACAGAGTGAGATCTGGGTACGAGATTATCCAGTTCAGGTAGAAATGCACTGAGATCCTCTGACAAAGGGAAGTTATCGTACTCTTTCCATTCATCCATTCACAAAAAGTTTGCTCTTCTTTGCAGATGTCAAGTTTCTCGGAATTCAGTCCCTTAGTTTCAAAATTTAGCTGTGTAAAGTGAGGCGAATTTCAGTAATTGCTGCCGGTATCTTCCTCCTAAGATGAAACTTGCCATTGATCACTTCCATCTAAAATAGAAAAAGAAAACACCTATGATCAAATTATGGGGGAACCAAACTAAATTTTACATATACTAAAATAGGATTTTTATCAACACCCAAGTACCTACACTAAAGGTCGATTTTTATTAGAAAGCGAATCTGCCAGGTTAAAATCAAATTCAAAGTTGTTAGTCGCAAGGCTCTATTCTTCCTTCATAATACTGGTAATTATTTCATGGGCGAAGGTACCTTAGTGACAAAAAAAAATATGGACGGAAAAACAAAATCGGAGTACATGACCCTTTCTTCAACTCTCGTAGAATTGGTGACATAAATCCCAACCAACCCGGAGACCACTAACAAAATAAGAGACAGCTTAACAGGGAAGCTTGCATTGATTAATTCAAAAGACAATACACTACCAATATATTAAACTACATCGACAGTTCACAACTGATACAGGCAACTATTTAGTATGAACTCAAAAGTTAAAGTTCTGATGAGGAATTCGTGATCCTGCCAGACTGCATAACAAAAAACAATTTCCATTTGAAACAAAACCTTGCCGTTATCCTCACACTTTCTTTCACTCACAAAACAAAAAATCAAACGAATGATTGGAAATTGTGTCAACCTCTGCTCCACCATCAGAGGGTAAGTTTGGCTGGCTACCTGAAATATCAAAATGTCTTTATTGTAACACACACATGAGATAGAGAATAATACTAATCCGAATTCTTTAAAGGCTCAAGCTCAGTTACAAAATGGACTTTTGGACTTGAACAGAACCACTTGTATTATGAATCCAAACCGAAAGAATATTTCCTCTGTAATACAAATGTACCCGTCAGTGTGCGCAGTTTCTTTGTTTTTGCCAAAATAATACCAGCAAGTCACGCTTAAAGACCTTTAAAGCTTCTTTGAAACTTCCGGTTTTAGACTAAGGTCAGAGGGTGGAAAGATTGAAATTTGGTTGGCTGCCCAGCTGTCTGAAGTGAAATGCAAATTGTTTGTGTAATACTAAGTAGCGCTTTATATGCTCCAAGTTTCCCAGAATCACACTGAACAAGAATGGGGTGTGTTCTGTCGCTGTAAGAGGAAACTCGAACGATGGAGTCGTTGTTAAAGAATCTTAAAGAACATGTTACTTGTTCAATCTGTCTGGATACTTTCACCGATCCCAAGACAATAACCTGCCTGCACACATTCTGCTTTGAGTGTATAAAGAAACACGCACTGATCAGCCAAAGGAATGGAAAGTTTCGCTGCCCCGAGTGTCAAGCTGAAGTTGATCTTCCCGAAGCAAACCGTTTCGATAAACTGCCGACCAGTTTTCATCACAATAGTCTACTCAGTGTTCTCGCCATACGACAGAGTGGTAAAGGAAATGATATCAGTTGTGGCGTTTGCAAGAAAAAGAGCGCAGAGATAAGTTATTGCTTCGAATGTGCTAAATTCATGTGCAGTGACTGTGTAAACGCACATCAACTGTTTAGTCACTTCACAGAAGGACACAAAGTGACGCCAGTCAAACAGTTCCAACCTCAAGACTACGAAGCACTAATGAGGAGGCAGTCATTTTGTTCGCAGCAGTATCACGAGCGAGAAGTAACGAGGTTTTTCTGCGTTAAATGCCAAATCTGTGTCTGCCAAGTATGCATCGCTACGGATCACAAGGCACATGACGTCGAACCATTAGAGAAAGCAGCGGACGGCGAGAAAGCCAACATCCTTACAAGAACCGAGGTATTAAAAGAAAGAACAAAGGTTTTTAGCGATGTGATTCGTAAATATGAACAAACAGTAGTTGAACTGGAAGCGAATATAACTGACCTTAAACGTGAAGTTTCCCAAACAGCTGAACAAATGATCGCCAAGATTCGAGAAAACGAACGGCAAATTATTACAGCCCTCGAGAACACGCGCGTGTCAAGGCAAGACAGATTAAACTCTGCAAAGGCACAAGTGCAATCCTTGCTGAAGCAAATCAACCAAGCAATCGAGTTTGCTGAAAATCTGATTCAAAGAAGCTCCAGCTCGGATGTAATGCAAAGCAAGAATTATCTAGAACAACGGTTTGAACATATTGAAAACACGCCGATCCCGGAAGTTCCGGTCAATTCATTTCTGAAGTTTTATCCAACTAAAGAAGTAAAGAATCTTACCCTTGGTTACATATTGTCAAGTGAACCAGTCGTAAGATTGAGAAAAGATTTCCAAGCTGGTGTTGAATCAGAATTTGAAGTTCACCCTCGAATACTTGGAGAACAAGTGTATCAAGTGAAAGTGCTTGTGGAACCAGCTCATAAAACAGGAAGCTTGACAACTTGTGAAAAACAAGATGGTGATTACACCGTGAAGTTTACACCTAGAGTTCCAGGAACCTTCAATATCATAATAAAGGTAAATGGCAGGGAGTTTGCAGGAAGCCCTTATATCGTCCAAGCAAAACAAAGACTCATTCAAGTTGTTGGAGAGGTAGAAATAAAAGGAGAAACTCTTGTAAAGCCAATGGGAATTGCCGTAAACGGCAAAGGACAAATTGCTATTGCTGATTTTGATAAACACTGTCTCCTGATAACTGACAAAGAAGGAAACTGTGTAAGAAAAGTGGGTTGTCACGGAAACAATGCTGGACAGCTCAACCGTCCAACTGACGTCACATATCTAAATGATGATAACATTCTTGTGGCGGATCAATTAAATCATCGCATTCAACAATTTAACGTTCAAACAGGGAACTCTGTGAAACGTTTTGGAAAGAAAGGGACAAGGGATGGTGAGTTTCAGTATCCTGTCAGTGTTTGTGTGGATGAAGAAGGCCGTGTTATAGTTGCTGATCATTTCAACAACAGAGTCCAAGTTTTATCACAGGATGGTGAACCTTTGTTTCAATTTGGAAACAGTGGACCAGAAAAACTAAGCAAACCCAGGTCGTGTATTTACCATGAGAGCAAGTTTATTGTTTCTGAGTGGGTTGGTAAAAGCTTGAAAGTGTTTGATAATAAAAGCTTGTTCTCGTGGTTTACTGAGAGAATGTGTTTGCAATAATACACAGCATCAAGGAAGAAATGGTCTAGAAATGTGGCAATCACCATAATCTTCTTGTTTGTAATAGAGCCAATGGCCGTGTTGATCAGTTTACAGTGGACGGCTGTTTCACTGGAAAAACTGTTGTTGAGTTACAAGACCCTACAAGAATAACTACAACACCGAATGGACTTATTTTAGTTACAGACTTTAAGTCCCAAAAAATTCACATTCTAAAATAATTAAAAATTAAGCACAGACTGGATGATGAAACAAATATACATCCTGAAATAAACACCAGAAAAGTAAAACAATAACTCGGTATGGTAAAAGGAATAAGTAAATAGCAGCTGAATACTTTCAACGAGCAATTCCCACATTATATTATCCGCACTGAAGTAACAAAAATGCTTGATGAGGACAGACTTGTGTGACAAAAACAGATGGCGCGATAAGGTTTCAAAAGTTAATTCCTGCTACGTTTGAGCAGAAACTACTTTGCCACTAGCAAAGATTTTAGAAAAATACTAGCCTGCGAGCAAATCTCACACCACCGTACTCCCGAGAGCAAAACCGGGAGGTTGCTGGTAGGCTAAAAACTCACCACCACACCACAGTTGTGTGTGGTCCATGGGGACTGTGACCGTCCAGAAATGCGGCAATTATCACAACCTTATTGTATGCAATACTGGCAATGGTCGTGTTGATCAGTTTACACTGGAGGGATGTTTCACTAGAAAAAAATGTTAATAAGTCAGAGTCCTGCAGCAATAATTGTTTCATCAGATGGACATATTTTTGTTTCAGACTGTAAAGCCACTAAGATTCACAACCCGAAATAAGCAACAAAACAGAGATCTCAGTATGATAGAATTTAAAAGTAAATAGCCGCTGAACACAATCGGTCAGCGAGAGTATTAATGACAATGCCGGACAAATGTTTCTGTAGAGGGACAGCTGTGTGACAACACAATATTTCAGTGAAGCAATTGCAAAGGATAATATATTAAAGTTGACCAAAGTTAGAGAATAATGCGGAGTAAACTACGAGTTATAACACAGTAAATAATTCTCTTTCTGATAGTATTTTCACAAGGCCTGATATATTAAGTAGTTATGTAAGTTTGTAGATGATATATTAGATGAAAGAAGCTCTCTTGCTACTATTTTTTAAAAGAACCGTGTCACTAATAATTTTGTAACAGTTATCAAAAAGATCATTCACCCGTCAAAGGCAAATGAAAGTATAGTTGCAATATAAAAAAAGAAAAAAAATTGGCACTGATTATTTCACTTTTGTTTTCAGTCAAAGCAAAGTGAGCCAAGATTGTTTCATAATTATGCAAAATTTTCTGAGTTCATATCATTTGTCAGGTCTTTTAGGAGGGTCTCCAAGAAACGGACATACACAATAATCGCAAGACTTTGTACAGCCTCATATAATAGAAAATAATAACGAGTTTTACTTACTTCACCTTTGCTTACTGGTGATCTAAATATATGATTTTCATGGATCAGAAAAGAAACATTTTTATTTTAGCTGTTTATGATTGAAATATGGAATAATCCTCCAGACGTGCTTCCCCTTTATCGTTAAACTTAACCTGTTCACATCAGAATCGCCCGTGTGGATCCACATCCCTTGTACAGCTAGTTTGCCAACAAGCTCTCCATTTCGAGTGGCGAAAGAAGCGAGCCGCGAGGGCTGGAGAAAAAGGAGATTTCTTCTTTCTTTCTCCACCCTCACACTCGCGTCTCCTTTAGCGTGAGGCTCTCGCGTGACTTCTCGCGACTCCCCCTAAAGGAGAGCTTGCTCGCAGGTTATTGTACCGCTTGTAAAGTCATCAGATTAAACTGTCAATAACAAGCTTTTCACCTAACCTGTGCAAGGGAAAGAGATAATAAAGACGACTTGAATGAACACGAAGGCCAAACCCTTTTTCAAACTTTTAGAAAGGACCCAAACGCCCACCTGTTAATTTCGAAGCCCTGAAAGTGAATTCTTGATTTATTACAAGATTTGTTCTTTTTACTTCTTTTAATTATATTTACCACCATATTCACCTAACTAACTTCTGGTTTTCATTTTATGTTCGCCAAATAATTGAATGAAATTAACAATATAACTTACAAACTGCTGGTTGACATTTGAGAGAAAAGAACTGGTGTTCCTAATGCACTAATTTCCGGCTCATTGTATGGACTAGATCCTCGAGAGTCGGATAAAAACGGTGAAACTCTGGCCGGCGTACACATTCTGTGTAGACGTTTAGAAATGCGGTTTGCATAGTAGGGTGTTGAATGAAAACTAATAGCCTGTTCGTCATTCTGCACAAACCTGTTTTTAGATTCGCTCTGGTTTATGACTGAAGGCGCATCAGGTTCGTTTCTATTTGAATCTGAAAACGAGGCTGGCTGGTCAACCAAGCGAAGCGGCGACGATGAGGAAGAGAGAAGCGAATGATTAGAACAGGAAAACAATGAAACCGAGTTCATTTCCTGCCTGCTGGGAGAGCAATTTGGGGAAGAAAATAGGTCAGGGGTTTCGCTAAAATGTTTTGAATACCAAGAATGGGATTCATCTTTCAAGAGTCTTGGAGAATAATATAAATATGGTGTGTCAGAACTCATTACTTTCGCACGAGACAGAGATTGCGAAAACAAATCAGGGGAAGTGTACATCATCTCAAAGCTATCAATCAACATGTCATCTCCTGACGAATAACTGTTTCCTTGATGAGAAGCAGCTTGTCGGATCTCCGCTTTGATCTTTTGATCATGTGACCATATGTTTACCACTTCGTGCTGCAGGGACCTGGTACAAACTACTTCCTCTTCACGTGACTGTTCGGTTGATTCTAAGACGCACAACACCTTCCCTTGCTCTATTAATTCGTCTAGACAATGAGTAGGCTTCTCTTTCTTCATAAAACTGCTTTGTAAATTAACAGAGGAATGCCTCTTTTGCTCACCTATTTTTACATCTTTTCCAGGAATAAACTTTTCAGAGGGCTCTGTGAAAAAATTTTCGCAGTTCCTAAGCAACTCAGAATGTGATAGATCAATCTTAGGTACCATTTTATACGAGTTCGAATTTTGAAGCCTTATGGAATCCTCTTGCGTGCACACGCCATCACCATCAGTGAAATCCAAGATCTTTTTGGAGCGTTCAGTGTTGTTTATTTTCGCAATATATTTAATATCGTGCTCGTTACTGGCTAATGTTCTTGACACCTCTACCTTTTGTTGAAGTTCAAACGGGTCAGTGGACCTCAAAACATCAGCAGGCGCCAACGATGTTTTCTGCGATATAGTTTCACAATCGAGCTCCATATCAGCCAAGAAAGCGTCTAGATCTTCAGAAGAAGAAAAATCAGTAAATTCTGTGTAATCCTCTTGAACAAATCCATAAACGACATCACTGAAACTAACAGTCTGTGACGTAACCATCTCATCGGGCGTCTTCTCTTCTGACGTCACGCATGATGTTTTGGAATTTATGATTGCCTGAGATTGTTCTTTCGTTTTATTTATAGCATCCATTTCCAAATCAGCTAGAAATGCACTGAGATCCTCTGACGAAGGGAAGTCATCGTACTCTGTCCATTCACAATAATCTTGCTCTTCTTTGCAGACGTCAAGTTTTTCGCAGTTTAGTCCCCTTGTTTGAGAAGGTAGCTGTGTAAAGCGTGGCGAGCTTGAGTTATTGCTGCTGATGTCTTCTTCCTGAGATGAACCTTGATCAATTCGATCTAAAATAGAAAAAGAAAACACCCATGACCAAATTATGCTGCTACCAAACTAAATCAATGTCATAACACTGGAATTTCATCGACAGCCAAGTACCTCTAATAAAGGTTGATTTTGACTAGAAACCGAATCTGAATAAAAATCAAATTTGGAGTCGTAAGCCGTAAGGCTCTATCCTTCCGTGGAGTTGGCTGATATTATTTTTTGGGCACAGGTACCTGAGGCACAAGAAAGAAACAGGCATATAGGTTCTGTGACGTTTCTCAACGTCGTTCGAATCTAGCAATCTAGCTAGCAATCCCAACCAAAGTTTGTCCAAGCTCCCTTAAGCGAATCTACATCCCTGGGAAACAGAGCCAAGAAAAGCTTTCGAAACTGGAGCTGACCGCTTACGAAAATTAAGCAGCGGCCACTAGCAATATAAGAGACGAGGGGCCGCTTAAGGGTGTTGGTTATGTTGTGTATGCCTCATGTACAACATACTAGTACTACGTGCTAATCTTATGATGGCGAAATTGCCCAGTAGTAGTAGCACTCGCATTGTACAGTAGCAAAAAGAAAAGATGAAAAAAAAAAATTAAAGTTGAAACCGTTTTCCTAGATAGGGTCTGCGTCTGCTAAGGAGAATGGCCACTATTGATAATGTGAAGATACAGGGCCCGTTATTTAAACCAAGTTTAAACAGCATTTATGAAAGTCATCGTCTAACCAATGTTTAAACCATGAATACCGATTATTTAAACGTTCTTTCAGTTTTTCATAACAGTGTTTAGACGATGTCCAAACACCGACTAAGGAACAATAGTAAGTTAGACCAGCTCAAAGGTAGGTTTAAACGCTGTTTAACGATATTTTCATGGTCAGCCATTTTCAAATGGAGGGACTACTGCGCTACAGACAGTTAGGCCTGTTTCAAACGTCGAGCTACTGCCGTGCTAAGCTGGCTCGACTGTAGCTCGACTGCAACACGACACTAACACGACTTGGTTTCAGACGTCGAATTCAATTCAGTCAAATAGAACGGCTGTTGCCTAAAACAAAACACGAAAATAAAGAAACGGTTTAGCAGACTTTTAAATGTATTCTAAAGTATTTATAATTTATGAATTGAGTTCAGCACGGCGGTAGCACGACGTTTGAAACCAAGTCGAGCTACCGCCGTGTAGCACGGCAGTAGCACGACTTGGTTTCAAACGTCGCGCTACTGCCGTGCTAAAGTCGAATTTAATTCGATCAATTGATTTCGGAATGGCAGTAGCACGACGTTTGAAACAGGCCTTAAGAAACTACGCCAATCGACGAAATATACGTATTCGACACCTTAGGAATAGATTTAACCCTTTAGAAACCGCTCCCTCTAACCCTCCCCTCCCTCTAACCCTCTATGCGACAGGCGACTTGGCGATTTATTTGGTGTTAGTGCATTTGCTGCATGTACTGCAATTCACAAAAAGACCTTTGAAACTTCTAACCACTTCCGCTTTTAGACTAGGGTGACTGTCTGCAGTATAATGCAAATTGTTTTTGTAATACTAATTATAGTTCCTTATATGGTCCGAGTTTCCCGGAATCACTCTGAACAAGATTAGGGTGTGTTCTGTTGCTGTGAAAAAAAACTTGAACAATGGAGTCTCTGTTGAAGAATCTCAAAGAACACGTTACTTGTTCGATCTGTCTAGATACTTTCACCGATCCCAAGACAATAACCTGCCTCCACACATTCTGCCGTGAGTGTATAAAGAAACACGCACTGATCAGCCAACGGAATGAAAAGTTTCGCTGCCCCGAGTGTCAAGCTGAAGTTGATCTTCCAGAAGCAAACCGTTTTGACAAATTGCCGACCAGTTTTCATCATAATAGTCTACTCAGTGTTCTCGCCATACGACAAAGCGGAAAAGGAAATGATATCAGTTGTGGCGTTTGCAAGAAAATGAGCGCAGAGATAAGTTACTGCTTCGAATGCGCTAAATTCATGTGCAGTGACTGTGTCCACGCACATCAACTGTTTAGTCACTTTACAGAAGGACACAAAGTAACGCCAGTCAAGCAGTTCCAACCTCAAGACTACCAAGCTCTGATGAAGAGGCAGTCATTTTGCGCGCAGCAGTATCACGAGCGAGAGGTAACGAGGTTTTTCTGCCTTAAATGCCAAATCTGTGTTTGCCAAATATGCATTGCTACGGATCACAAGGCACATGACGTCGAACCATTGGAGAAAGCAGCGGACGGCGAGAAAAGCAACATCCTGACAAGAACCGAGGTATTAAAAACAAAAACAAAGGCTTTTAGCGATGCAATTCGTGAATATGAACAAACAATTCGTGAGCTGGAGGCAAATATCACAAACGCTAAACGTGAAATTTCCCAAGCTGCCGAACAAATGGTCGCGAAGATTCGAGAAAACGAGCGGCAGATTATTACAGCCCTCGAGAACACGCGCGTGTCAAGGCAAGACAGATTAAACTCTGCAAAGGCACAAGTGCTATCCTTACTGAAGCAAATCAACCAAGCAATCGAGTTTGCTGAAAATCTGATTAAAAGAAGCTCCAGCTTGGATGTAATGCAAAGCAAGAATTATCTAGAACAACGGTTTGAACATCTTGAAAACACGACGATCCTAGAACTTCCAGTCAATTCATTTCTGAAGTTTTATCAAACAAAAGAAGAAAAGAATCTAACCCTTGGTTACATAGCAACAAGGGAACCAGTAGAAGGATTGACAAAAGATTTCCAAGCTGGTGTTGAATCAGAGTTTGAAGTTCACCCACAAATACGTGGAGAAGAAGTGTATGAAGTGAAAGTGTTTGTGGAACCAGCTAATAAAATAGGAAGTTTGACAACTTGTGAAAAACAAGATGGTGATTACACCGTGAAGTTTACACCTAGAGTTCCAGGAACCTTCAATATCATAATAAAGGTAAATGGCAAGGAGTTTGCAGGAAGTCCTTATATTGTCCAAGTAAAACAACGACTCATTCAGGTTGTAGGAGAGTTAAAAGTAAAAGGAGAAACTTTTGAACAGCCATCTGGAATTGCCGTGAACAACAAAGGACAAATCGCTATCAGTGACTATAATAAACACTGTATCCTGATAACTGACAAAGAAGGAAACTGTGTAAGAAAAGTGGGTTGTCATGGAAACAATGCTGGACAGCTCAACCGTCCAGCTGACGTCACATATCTAAATGATGATAACATCCTTGTGGTGGATGAATTAAATCATCGCATTCAACAATTTAATGTTCAAACAGGGAACTCTGTGAAACGTTTTGGGGTGAGAGGGATAAGAGGTGCAGAATTTCAAAATCCTACCTGTGTTCGTTTGAACGACGAAGGCCGTGTTATAGTTGCTGATCATTTTAACAACAGAGTCCAAGTTTTATCACAGGATGGTGAACCTTTGTTTCAATTTGGAAAGAGTGGACCAGAAAAACTAAGAAAACCCAGGTCGTGTATTTACCATGAGAGCAAGTTCAAACAAAGACTGACCCCATTATTAACGAACTTTCACAAACTATTTTGACCAAAGTTTTTGTACAAGATTGGAGAACCAGGCAAGGCTGATGGACAGATGGAAGGGCCTCACGGACTGTGTCTTCAGAAATGTGGCAATCACCATAATCTTCTTGTATCTAACAGAACCAATGGCTGTGTTGATCAGTTTACAGTGGACGGCTGTTTCACTGGAAAAACTGTTGTTAAGTTACAAGACCCTACAAGAATAACCACAACACCGGATGGACTTATTTTAGTTACAGACTATAAGACTAAAAAAATTCACATTCTAAAATAATTAAAAAGCAACAGACTGGATAAGCAAACAAATATACATACTGAGATAAGCACCAAAAAAGTAAAACGATAACTCGCTATGGTAAAATGAATAGGTAAATAGCAGCTGAATACTTTCAGCAAGGAATTGACTTACCGTAAAGCAATTCTGACAATATATTATCAGTACCAAAGTAAAAAAAAAAGAAGCTTTATAAGGACAGACTTGTGTGACAAAGTCTGATGGCTCAATGGAGTTTCAAAAGTTAATACCTCCTAAGTTTGAGCAGAAATTACGTTGCCGTTAACAAAGATTTGGAAAAATTACAAGCCTGCGAGCAAATCTCCCGCCGCCGTAACCCTGAGAGCCCTAGGAGAGTTTGCTGGCAGGCTAAAACATTACCACCACACCACAGTTGTGTGGTCCATGGGGACTGTGTGTCCAGAAATGTGGCAATCATTACAACCTTATTGTATGCAATGCTGGCAAAGGTTGTGTTGATCAGTTTATACTGAGAAACTCTTGAAACACCGATTGGAGTTGCCATAAACAGCAAAGGACAAGTCGCTGTTAGTGAGTATGATAAACACTGTCTCCTGATAACTGACAAGGAAGGAAACTGTGTAAGAAAAGTGGGTTGTCATGGAAACAATGCTGGATAGCTCTTATATCCAGCTGACATTACACATGTAAATGATGATAAAATTCTTGTGGTGGATGAATTAAATCATCGCATTCAACATTTTAATGTTCAAACAGGGAACTCTGTAAAAAGCTTTGGAAAGAGAGGGACAAGGGGTGGTGAGTTTCATGACCCTGCCAGTGTTTGTCTGGATAAAGAAGGCCGTATTATAGTTGCTGATTATAATAACAACAGAATTCAAGTTTTATCACAGGATGGTGAACCTTTGTTTCAATTTGGAGACAGTAGACCAGAAAAAGTAAATAAACCCATTGCATGTATTTACCATGAGAACAAGTTCATTGTTTCTGATTTGGATAAGAATGGTTTGAAAGTGTTTGATAAAACCGCGAGGGAAGTCTTTGTACAATATAAGAGAAGAAGGCCAGGGTGATGGAAAATTGAATACTCCATGAGGATTGTGACAGAAATGTGGTGATCACCATAACCTTGTGTGTAATGCTGGCAACGGTGGTGTTGATCAGTTTGCAGTGGAGGGTTGCTTCACTGGAAAAACTGTGGATACATTACAAGAGACCATAGGAATAACTACAACTCCCGATGGACTTATTTTAGTTATGGACTTTAAAACCAAAAAAATTTGCATCCTAAAATAAGTTATATTGTAGCACCAGACTGGATAACCCAAAAAATATTCATCCTGAAATATGTACCAAAAAATGACAAAGAGAACTAGGAATGGTAAAGGTTACTAGTAAATAGCAGCTGGAGACATTCAGAAAGCTGTATAACTTGATAAGGGTGATTCTGACAATCTATTTGCAATGTAAACATACAATTAATGCTTCATATTAGAGAGAGAATTCCATTTTTGCTGCATATGTTGACATTAATATACATTTGTTCAGACTGCAAATAACACTAACTTTTTAATTTCTGAGGCAAAACATTAGTTCCAAGAACTAACCTTTAAGACCAAGAAAGTGATGATCCAACTTATTTGATCCTGGTAACCTGTCTTGTGTGGAACTGCTGACAGAGGAAGGTTGTGAGACTCCAGTCAGGACAAGAGGAGTGATCATAGCACAGAACTCTTGTGGAGTACAGTAAATGGGAGATGCACGACCATTTCCTTGAAGAGATGTGTTACTTTTACCAAAACTTGCTTTGCAGCTCTCTTCAGTCTGAGAGCAATCAACAAGTGCTAAGTACTGACTCTGAGGCCTCCTCAGAAGAAATGACTGAGGAGTGTTTTTTTGTCTTGAACGTACCTCCAGCAAATTTTCATTTAATATCTGCAGCACTGTGGGAGCTTGATGATCAGCAGAGTAGCAGGGGAATATTTGACAGGCTAGAAGACTGGGTAATCCTCCAGAGAGACATGTTTTGTTCTCTGAGCCACCAATTTTCGGAACAATGTTATTGAGATGAAAAGGAGAGTTGTGAGCAATTTGTGATGCTGTTCTTGTAGACGAACAGACTCTGAAGCCAAAGTGGAGTAAAGATCCCACAAAACACTGCTCTACTGCTTGGACAACAAGATGATTCCCTGGAATGGGAAGTGGATGAAATTGCAGATCATTCACAAACCTGAAAAAAAAAAAAAAGAATGCATTTTAATTAAACAATATTATTGTAAAGCTTATCACACAAATCCCAGTAACTATTCTCATTTCCCACTCAAAGTTTTAATAATGTTTCTACCGGACAAATATATGAGTGTGGAATACTAGTACGGAAAAAGTATCAAAGTTAACAATTTTTGATATTCTCTCATGCAGGATCAATGAGGGCCCCATGGCAGGAATGCTTAGAGCTGGCTACTGTCTAATAACTTGCTAATTTCACTGGCTAAAAAAAAGCCTACCACCAGCTCAGATTGCTCTGGAAATTGAAGACATGGGGTAATTTAAGAAGCAGCTGAGTCAAAAATGCCTGCTTGAGTGCCTACTAAAACAGCGTGTTCAGCTTTCCCACAGCTACATCCCTGCCATGGACCCCTTCCTTTATAGCCCCTTCATGAACTTGTGGAGGGGCCTTTTCCAATAAAGAGAGCCTATAGTATCTGGACATTTTCACACCATTTGGTCGGAAATTAATTTTTTCCTCAGTATTTGCTGTTAATCCTCATTATTTTTATTGACATTGTGCTGATTTTTAACATCACTGCCAATTGACTTCTCAGTATTAAGTTGAACAGGATATTTGCCTGTCAACTAAGATAGTAATTTCTTCTTGGTTCATACTTATAACTCATTGAAATAAGAGATGGTTTATGGTCACATTAACTGTTTAAACAATGACTTTTAGTTACATCCAAGGACTGCTTGTTTTTTTTTAATTGTGGGATTGTTTTATTTTATTGCATGATCAACATATTTCTTGCTTTTTATTGTTATTTCCTTTATGTCAGAAGCACAGTTTACAATAGTTTTTTGCTAAAACATATTTACTTAGTTGTGAGGAGTCTATCACACAGTAAGGAGCTAGCAGAGAACTTTCAGAGTAATTACAACTGCAGGAGATTTGGAGTTCTTTTAACCCCTGGAGTCAAGATCAGACGTAAGTCACACTCATAAATTTTGGAGTTTGTTTTTCCTTCTTTTTTCTTGCACGGAGCACATTATTCTAGTTTTCATTTCCTCTGGAAAAATCACGTTTCTTTCTAGTTTTCACCTGAAGGGCTGTTAATAGTCAGACTAGCCTGATTTTAATGAATAGATTGAATCTTGCTGACCGCCCAGGACTTCACTGTGGTTGACCTGGTGAACTCCAGTGCCTAACACCTGATGTGCCTAACACCTGATGTGCCTATGACACTGTGAATTTGACATTTATTCTTGTATTGTTTAGTTAATGGCATGTTAATGTTGTTTTCAAAACATGTAAATAGTAAATTTGACATTAATAATAATAGTTACTTGAATGGCTGATTTTTCAATGGTCATTTTGAAAATCTGAAAAACATGACCACACTTCATCCCTGGATTCTCACTGACATTATTTACTGTGATTTAAAATTAAAATTCTTTATTTCAGTTTATATGCATTTCCATGCCTTACTTGCCACACTTCAATTAAGTGAATTCAAAAGTGAGGCACATGACATAGCTATGAAATTTCTGCTAGCTCAGTTTTCTTTAGTGGTATAAATGTGTACATAGAAATTTTTTTCCACTCAAATGTCTGATTTTTTTTTTCAATCTTACTGAATACTGAGAAGAGGTAAGTAGCCTAAAATCCACTGCTCATCCATAGAGGAATGCTTGCTTGAAATTGTTAATAGCTTAGCTCCTAGGAAACTTTACTCCCTTCGTATAGTACCCTGCTTTGTTTAAAAGTGTCATTGATATTATATTAAATGAATTAAAGAATCAAACCTAGCAAAGCTTGTGGCAGATAATCCAAAACACTTATCCAGACAGCTGCCAAACACTGTAATCTGTGCCAACTGTGTCCTGTCTGATGCCAACACACTGATCCTGTAACGATATTCAACTTTTTCTGCACTGTATTCTTCTTGGCATTCTTCACAGTACAAGCTATATACATGTATAAAAATATCACACCAGACATTTGTTAAATACAATATTCGATTTATAGGTGCCCTGGGAGCTAATTAAATTTTTGGGCCTTGAGAGTGGGTGCTTATTTGAGACCTTGTTCCAGGCTGGGTGCTTATTAAATAATTTTTTCATTATTTTCAGCAAGTAGAAAGTTGATTTTCCAACAAAACATAATGACAAAATGTGTGCCAGAGCAGAATTATCACAGTTTATTGAGAGTTTCTTGTAAAAAAAGACTAAGAACTCAGTCTTTGGGGAATTCTCTTAGAAGTACCTGGTGAATTCTTATCTAATTGTCAGTAAAGCCATAGGCAAACTCTATGGTGTTGCCTTATAGATGTTTTACTGCATAACATCTTCATACGGGTCAGTCCATGAGAAGCAGATAGGGCAGTAAAAAAATAACAACCAAAGCTCTTTCTGTCCACTTCAGTTTTTTTTTTTTGGGGGGGGGGGAAAGG